CCATCTTAGTTGATTATTATTGTTAGTTCCCTTTCTATCTTTAAATATACTTGTACATCTGTTTCTTGGTTAATCAGTTCTGAAAGGTGTCTTAAGATTTACAGCTGTAAAAGTGGAAGAAATCCACATACTCTTACTACTCACTTTCTCTCCGTCTATACTGTATACTTTATTTTTTGGATCCTTTTTAATCATTCATTTCCAACTCCAGTTGCTTTTTGCAGTCTTATCTGTTTTCAGCAAGGCTAGCTTCCTTTTTGAGGTTCTGAAATGACCTTCACTTCTGAGATGGTTTATTCTTTTAATCACTTCTTTCCTGAGCTCTGCCAGTGTCATCTCCTCTGGCTGTCTCAGCATCTTTGCTTTGAACTATTGCATCTTTACTTTGATCTCTTGTTTTAAAATTCATTAAGCCCTTTGAGTTCTTTGTTCATGATTATCATCTGTTTCATGTTAAAATTTTTTTTTCTTTTTTTTTGGTAAGTGTCTTTCATCTGCCATTTCTTTTTCCTTTCCCTGCCTCCCTCTCCTGCTTATTTGGTAATATATTTGTATAGGCCTGGTGCTGTTTCTTTTTTACTATAACTCACCTATAGATGAAGTGGGTTCTTCCTGGACCAGCTACTTGTTGGGGTTGTGTGTGGAGAAGGAACTAGAGTAGAATTCCAGGCTGACAGAAGTCTCTTAGGTTCATAGCAAAGCTCCTTCTGACAGGGGTTTTGTGTGAGTGTGTGAGTTGGTTTAACCTTTCCTCTTCCTACCAGTTGGAGCTTGGCAGCTTCAGGGCTACAAAAAATGGCATGTCTGTGTGTTTCCCTGGTCAGCCCATTCCCCTTCTTCTCCTTGGTGCCAGTGAGACCTGGAGCCAGTGCATACACCACAATCCCAATGTTCTGCAGAAGGTGTTGTTGGTTCTGCCCTCAAAGTGTACCATCTTTTTTGGAGAACTCCGAGTTCTGCTGGCTCTCCCTGAGACCTGCAGTCATATAGCATTCTCTATCAGCATTAACCCTCTGGATCTTTTCCACACTCATCATTGCTGCGCAGGCTGGTGGGATGGCTTGCTAGTCAGCACCGTTAGCACCTTTAGCCTCGGGCCGCTGGAGTGCTCAGCCCAGAAATGCTGGGGAGGTAATGCCTCCAGGAACAGCCATCAAAGGGACAGCTCTGAGGCATGCTTTCTGTGGTCTTACTAAGGTCTCCAGCACACTGGAGCCCTACTTGTCCACAAGGTTGACGTGGCCGTGTGCCTCTGTCAAAAAAAACCAAAACTGTTTTAATCTATGGAAGGAGATCAAATGATTTTTCTCTTTAGCTATGCTAACATAATGAATTATGTTTATGGATTCTCCATTAACCATATTTGCATTCCTGGAATGATGTTATTTTTTAATGTGCTATTGAATTCTATTGGCTTTAGATGCAGTCTC